CCTGCAGCCATAGCCTGAGTCTCCTCGGATGCATCGCCTCGGGCGAGCACTCCCCCCCCCCCCCCCCCGGTCCCAACCCCCCCCGACAAGAGGGGCCAAGGGATCCTTCCTTTGGCCGCTCGCGCCCCACCTTGTTCACTATTGAAAACGGCCAGCAGGCGGAACATGAAGGCGCCACAAGTCGCCGAGAAGAAGCCCCTCCAGTAATCCCGGACAGCGAAGTGGGAGGAAACGACCTCGATGCTGAAGAGGACCCCTGGAGGGAAGGCAGCGGGGAAGGGGGGCGGGCGGGGGAGGGCAGTCCAGAGAGTCAGCCTCACATCCATCAGCCTGCCCCCCCCCCCCAACCTGCTCTGGGCTCCCCTTTGCAAAGGGTCTTTGCCAGAGATGGAAGCCGCGTCCCAGCTACGTCTTACCGCTGATGGGTGCGCCGAAGACGGTTGCCACGCCCACAGCCGCTCCCGCCACCAGCATCTCATTCTGCTTGCTTTTATTCTGGGCAAAGGAAAGGGGGTGCCCCTCGGTGAGGCTGCTGCCAAGCTCCCTGGAACCCCCAAAGCTGGGCCCCCTTCGGTCCCTCCAGCCACACAGCCCTCAGCGGGACCCTCCCTGGGGTGCGGCCTCGCCTCCTCAGCCGTACCTCGTACTCCCCAGAAACGCTGGTCCGGATCTTGCCCAGGTAGGCGGCGATCATGCTGGAGAGGTGAACAAAGGGTCCCTGCAGAGGCCGGGCAGAAGGAAGATGGTGATGGAGGGCCCGGAAGGCTCAGAGGGAGGGAAAGCTGGTCAACAAAGGCCCTCTCCATCCAACGGCAGCCTCTCCCAGCCGGCCCTCCCCCAGACAAGCGGCTCCTCTCCTGACCTCAGCTGGACCTTGAAGGTCTCTGGGAAGGAGATTTTTTTGCCCCCTAAAACTTTCCCCTCGGTTGCTGGGCTGACTCTGGCGGGATCTTTTTCTATGTACACAGAGAGCAGATGCACCAAAAACAAATTCCTTGTGTGTCCAATCACACTTGGCCAATAAAGAATTCCTATTCTATTCTATTCTATTCTATTCTATTCTATTCTATTCTATTCTATTCTATTCTATCCTAGTCTATTCTAGTCTAGTCTAGTCTATTTCCATTCCATTCCTATACCTATTCTATTTCTGTTATTTCTAATTCTATTCTATTCTATTCTATTCTATTCTATTCTATTCTATTCTATTCTGGTCTATTCTATTCTAGTCTATTTCAATTCCATTCCTATACCTATTCTATTACTTCTATTTCTATTATTTCTAATTCTATTCTATTCTATTCTATTCTATTCTATTCTATTCTATTCTAT